TTGAGAAAAGTGAAGTGGTTAAAACCTGGTCCTGTCGTGCTGCATGGGGAGGAGGGAAAGAAACGGGAGTTCCAGGGCTGCTTGAACCCTTGACCAGCCGAAAGAGAGTTAAGAAAGCCAGGGAAGAGTGGGCCCTGGGGGTCAGACCTGGCTCACAGCACAGCACTGCCTCTTAATTACCCTTGAGACCGTGAGCACTCGTTCCTTTGATTATTCACCTGTTGATTAAGCCATTCATGTGTTGAGAAGCTGCTGTGGTACCAAGCACTCCTCTGAGCTTCCGTGTCCTCATCTGTGAAAGCAGAGATGATTATGCCTTCCTGCAGAGACTGCCCCTCATAAGCGCACCCTGTGCTAGCCAGCCGGGCCTGCAGGGCCTGTATGCTCGCTCCCTCGGGAGATGAGGCCTGCTGTGTGGTGAGTGGCCGACGAGGATGCCAATGGCCAGGTCCCGAGGCGGCCAGGTCCCGAGGCACCCCGGCCCCAGCTCTGAACTGCACAAGGAGAGGAGGTGTCGGAAAGTGCAGACCATCCTGGCCCTGAGAGCATATTGTCTTCATGTCGGGAGACTCGGGTCCTGGCCTTCTGTGGGACGTTGGGCCAGTCACCATCCCACTCTGGGCTGCAGGCTCACTGTTCACAAAGTCCGTCTGGCTGCAGAGCCCATGGTCTCCCAGGCTTCCATGCAGCCATTCATTGGCTCTGAGTGAGCATCCCGAGGGTGCTTATGGGCATGCACCATCAGGGGCTCCTGCACTGCTAACCAGGCCAGCACCCCAGGCCTCTTTGTCTCTGTGGTGGCTTAGCTTCTGGCTCCCACTTCTCCAGGCCCCCCTGGCTTCTGGGAATGTAGTCGGAAGGTGACACCTCTTTTGAGTAATGCCAGTGTAGCTATAGCAGCTCTTCCGTGCGTGTCCATGCGAGTGTGTGTCTGTGTCTGTGTGCGTGCATGTGCATGCATGGGTGTGTTTCCCTGGGATTGCAGAGCACCCACACCTCATTCAGACCCTGGGTCTTGGCTGCACATCCTTTAACCCTATAATCCCCTGTCTGTCTTGGGCAGACAGAGGTTCTGGCCGCCTCTCACTTGAGTCACGGGTGCCAGGAAGGCGCCGGGTATGCTGCAGGGACCCACGCTGGCCGCCCAGTGTATGCTCCCATGTGTCCACGCGCGCACCTCTCCCCCTCTTGGGGGCCTCGCTTTCATCCTTGCGAAGTCAAGGGTGGACGTGGAGGAGCTCCAGCCCCTTCCTGCCCATCAGGCCAGGCCCTAAGTCCAGCTGGAGAGGCAGCAGACGAGCTGGCGTCTCCCAGCAGGACAGAGCGCTCCCAAGGAGGGAAACGGGGAGAAGGGTTTGCAAGGCAGCTACTACAGCAAGTTCCCCTGCTGTGGATAAAGAGCAAGCATTGCCGTCTGAAATCCCCTTCTGAGGTTGGCTATGGGTTCTTTCTCCGTCCTCCTCTCTTTCCGCCTAGGCACGTTGCATGCCCACATCCTAGAAAAGCAGACACACTGTGGTAGCCCAGAGGGCCATAGCTGAAGAATGACTCACTGAGCGGGCCCTCCTGACGCGGAGCTCTCTCCTTGCACCCCTGCTGCCCTTGCCTCTCCTGCCAGGATCAGCTTGGGGGGTCTGGACTCCCAGGGATCTGTGCGTCGTGCCGACTGGGGCAGTGGTGGTGGGCAGGGAGCATCGCCAGGCTTCGGGAGGGCTGGAGGCTGACCGTGCGGTTTCCTGTGGGAGAGGCTCCAACCTGGTCCTGCCGCCCACCCTGCAGAGTCTCGGCCGAGCTTTTCTCAAGCCCCACGGGCAGAGGGCTGGCAGGTCCTGCCGGCAGAGTGGAGTGGAAGGCCAGCGCGCGGGCACGTGTGCTCCAGGGCCTGTCGTCACAGTGTGGCTCCTCTCACCCGCGACCTCAGCACGGTGTCTTCCCTGGGGTCTCCACTGGTAACCTCCACCAGCTGTGCCCACCGTCTGAGGATGAGATATAATCCGAGCTGGCCCTTAGTAATCAGTCACTGTTTGCCAGGCCCTGGATTCAGTGCTTTCCCTGGGATTATCTTCTTATCTTGTTAAATCCTAACACAGCCCTGGGAGTTAGGTGCTAATGTTTTCCGTTTTACAGATGAGGAAATTGAGGTTTAACAGAGATTAAATAACATGACCAAGATCACACAGCCAGGAAGTGGCAGAGCCAGGACTAGATCCCGGGGATCTGACTCCCAAGCCCACCAGACTCTCCCCTGAGCGGTCCTCCTCCCAGCGTCTCAGGCCTCCAGCTGCTGTGGCCAGCTCTGACCAGGCGAGAAGATGCAGTGCGTCTGCTCTGTGGGGCCCTCGTGGACAAGAGGCCTGAGCAGGCCAGGCCGTGTTCAGCGACGTGGGAGCAGCCCACTTCTTGACGTGATCCTTGCCCGAGACCCTTCACCTGCCCTCTCAGACTCTAACTGCCCTGGGGGCCACCAGGCAGGTTTCCGTGGCATCTGCCAGGGCAGGCCTGTACGGAGGGCAAGAGCCAGCGTTTCCATTTGGAACGCTGGGGACAGACTGGCCTTTGTTTTGCACCAAGCCCTTGCCCGCAGAATTCCCCAGGAAAGCTGAAGGGCTCTCGGAGCCTGTGAGTGCAGCCGCGCACACCCGTGCCTCCGAGCCAACCTCTTCTCCCCCTGGAGGCTATTCTAGGGAGAGGCCGCCCAAGGCCCCTGCTGGGGCTTCCCTTCCTGCCGTCCTCCCAGGCTTCTCCGCCCAGCCAGCCGGCTGACACGGCAGAGGGGCCCTTCCTCCCTGTGTCCCCCAACACAGGCCGAGGAGGCTCTGCACCCTCACCCCACGTCCCCAGGGGTGGCGTACAGCGTCCTCTCTGGGCCGGTTTTTGTTCTCATTGTGAGCCCCCTAGAAAGGACTGGAGCCCAAAGCTGCTCTCACCACGGCTCTCTCAGATGGGGGATCTGTGGTTTTCTAGCCAGTGCAGAGTCTGCTGTACAAGACAAGGGGTGAGTCAGCTTGGATGGAACGGAAGGGAAAGCCAGGTGCTGGGCATTGTCCCGGGACCCAGTGGGCACCCCACCGGTGTCACTCAGAGCGTGGAGTCCGAGGTCGGACAGACCTGGATTGGATCCTGCTCCACTCCTCACCATCTGTGTGACCCTGGGCAAGTCTCTCCACTTCTCTGTGTCCTGATTGCATCATCTGTGAAGTGGGCCGTGAGAAAGTCTCCCTTGTAGGCTGTTGTGAGGGATGAATGAAAACAGTCCCCGTCGGGCACTTAAGCCAGGGTCTGCACTTGCTAAGCATTAGGTTTTCTGGGGTTTTTTTTAAACTTTCTTTCCTTTTCCTTTTTTTTTAAAATTTATTTTTATTGTATTTATTTTTTTGGCTGCATTGGGTCTTCGTTGCTGCACACGGGCTTTCTCTAGTTGCGGCGAGTGGGGGCTACTCTTTGCTGTGGTGCGCGGGCTTCTCACTGCGGTGGCTTCTCTTGGTGCAGAGCACGGGCTCTAAGCACGCGGGCTTCAGTAGTGGTGGCTCGCAGACTCTAGAGCGCAGGCTCCATAGTTGTGGTTCGCGGGCTCTAGAGCTCAGGCTCAGTAGTTGTGGTGCACGGGCTTAGTCGCCCCACGGCATGTGGGATCTTCCCGGACCAGGGCTCAAACCTGTGTCCCCTGCATTGGCAGGTGGATTCTTAACCACTGCGCCACCAGGGAAGCCCCAGCATTAGTTTTTAGTACTGTTGGTGCTGCTGCGATAGTAATAAAAGTGATGACCAAAGCCATCAGCACTGGGGGACTGAAGGGGGGCACTCAAGGAAGGCCTCCAAGACTCTGCTGGGCTTCCTCTTCCTCCTGTGTAAATGAGGGAACCAGACTCGGTCTCCAGTTCCTCCCAGTCTACTGGTAGATACTATGTGTGTGCAGACTGAGGAAATCTCTGCAGTTCTTCCAAGCCCTAAGCTGTAGCCCCAAGACTCAGCCAGGGCGCAGGTTCAGGGGAGCACCCTGAAGCTGCCCTGGTCAGAGTGGCTCAGATCCCTGCGGGGACGGCTCAGCAGGTGGCAACCAAGGGCGACTGGCCTGTGTCAGTGCCCCCAGTGGCACTCCCCACGCAACTATGGGGAGGCCGGGAGGGCCAATGGAGAAGAAAAGGACGTGGGTGTGATTCCTCTGCTCCTTGGACGAGAGGTGGGGACAGCTGGGGCACCCGTGGGTACAGACACCGAGGTTTGTTCACTCTCTGCCCCCCGCCCCCAGGACTCATCGGATAACCATCACCAACTTCTGCCTCGGGAAGCATCTCGTGAGCGAGGGGGACCTGCTGAAGGACCAGAGGGGGAGCCCCGCCTACATCAGTCCAGACGTGCTCAGCGGTATGTGCAGGCTGCCAGGCAGCAGGCCCTGGGGCCTCACACAGCCGGGCCCTGCAGCCGTTCATTCAGTCAACAAACTATCTATGGGTGCGCCCCGGGCTGGGTGCTGGGGTTTCAGTGGTGGCCTAAACCAGTACTGTCCCTCCAGGTACAAAATGTGGGGTCCCATGGAGGAAAAAGATGGTAATCATTACGCTAGTTACTCTCTGAGATTAGTGCTTGGAGGGAAAGAAACGTGATTTTTGTGAGCATGAAGAATGGGCGCTTAAAGACCCTCCCCAGGGAAGTGGCGTTCGAACTGAGGTTGTGAGAATAAACAGGAGCCCACAAGGGGTGTGACTGGGCGAAGGTGGCGCCACATAGTTGAGGAACCACAGAAGGCCCCTGAGGCTGCCACTCAGAAAGTTCATGGGGAGGCCAGAGAGGTGGATGGGGGTCCAGCCGCGCAAGGCCTAATAATGGAGGCCCTGTTGAGAAACGCCATCCTTTAATTCAAGTGCGAGAGGACGCCGCTGAGAAGGTCTTCACTGAGGCTACCGTGATGAGACTTGCATTTCAAAGATATCACTCCCTTTGTTTGTTCATTCATTCATTCATTCATTCATTCTGCTGGTATTTACCGAGGACCTGCCATGTACGGGGCTCTGTTCTAGACACTTTGGATACAGCAGTGAACAGTCAGACAAACATCCTGCCTCCATGGATGGTGAGCTGACTTTCTAGTGGGGCTGAGACAGGTAATACACAAAATAAGTCAATTATGTAGCTATCACCTTCTGATAAACTGTTAGTGCTGGGTGCTGTACTGAGCATATGACAGGCATCATCTGTATAAAAACCACACAGCTACCCTGTGAGGTAAAATTTTTACAGATGGGAAAATTGAGGCTCAGAGAGATCAGACCTCTTGTTCAAAGTCACAGCTAATAGTAAACCAGAAAACCAGGAGGCTCGATCCCAGGGCTGCCTCCTGCCCAAGCCCATGCTTCTGTTTTACCGTAGGCTTTCTTTCCTTTCTTGCTTGTCCTTTGCCACATTGGGGTCCCTCTCTCTGTCCTGATCCCTCCGGGGACCAAGGGCTCACATCGGCTCCCATCCCTGCGATGCGAAGGTTTCAGGGTTGTCTACAGGGCCCATTATCCCCAGCACTCACACATGTGCCTCCCTCCTCACAGTGGCAGAAGCAGCCTCTTCCCGAGCTGTCACGTAGATCTTCCTGTGGAGCAGGCTGCTCTAACCTGCCACGAGCATTTGCGATCTCCTTGGAGGCCTTCTCCCAGCTGAGGGTTCTGCTGGAGCATCAGGCCTCTCCCAGGGCTACCTCTGCAGGGGGCAGTGGTGCCACTCTCCAGGCCTGGGGATTTTGGGTGGAGTCCCTGTGGCCTCTGCTAGAAGGATCTGGGTGCCAGGGGTTCATCCCAACTCCCTGAGCACCCCTCCCCCACCAGCCCAGCCCAGCCTGGATACCCTCCCTGAGAGTCCCGAAAGCATCCCTGTAGTTGACAGAGCCAGAGCTGTGTCAGAGGTGCGGTCTGTGACTGTATGCAGGCCTGGGGGTGGATGGGCTGCCTCTGGTCAGGCCTCCTCAGCAGTGCCAGGCTGGGGTGGCCTCCACACGCAGTCACTCCCACCTGCTGCCCTTGGCCTCTCTCTCTGGCTCGTCCAGACTCATGCCAGTCTTGAAGGATGAAACAGAGGAACCCCCTGCATCAGAAAGAGACCTGGACTGGGAGACCAGAGACCCGGGCTCTGGGACTGGCCTTGTTAATACCCAGCTGTGTGACTTTGGCCCTCAACCCCACTCTCTGAGCCTCAGTCTCCTTGTGGGTTAAAAGCTGAAAACAGTCCTGCCTCCCTACATTGTTAAGAGGATGAAGTGGGGTGACTCAAGTGGGTTTTGATCCCAGGTCTGCCTTTCATTGACTCTGTGTGCCAAGCACAGGCCTCAGAACCGGGCATGAAGCTGTGAAATGGCAGTCATGGCCTTGCCCTCACAGTTCATAATCTGGTTAACACCTGTGTGACCTTGGGAAAGGTACTGACCTCTCTGGGCCTCTATTTTCTCATCTGTAAAATCGGGATGATAATAGCCCCTACTTCATTAGGTCCCTGTGGGATTAAATAAGGCCATAGCCCAGTGTCTGGCACAATAAACCGCAGCTGGCATTGTCATTACCAAAAGGAAAGCTTGAAGTTCACTGTTCCCTCAAAAGTCAAAGCTCAGGGAAAGCTCCTGGGAGAGTTAGAGCTCCTGGGAGAGCTTGTCTGCTGCAGAGGCCGGACCAGCACCCGGGAGCTGGCAGTCAGTAGAGCAGGGCTGGTGCTGTGAGGAGGAGGCGTGAAATGTGCCCAGGAGGGTGGGCTGCACAAGGCCAGGTGTGACCCCTTCCCCTCAGGGGCCATGCCAAGGCGGGGCATCCCGCTGTGGAGCCGGGTCTCCAGAGCACGAGCGGGAACCAGCCTGAGGAGCGGAGGAGGAACGAGCATGGCAGAAGCTCAAGGACTGGGCCCGTGAGGCTTGCTCTGGGAGGAAGCATGGGGCGGGGGTTGACTGGACGTGAGGGTGCCAAGGCGGAGGGGTCCTGTGGGTAGGACTTCAGGCGCGAAGCCAGTAAGCCGAGGGAGTGCCAGGGCCGTTCTCCACCAGCCCCGGGCTGAGTGTGCATGTGTCCGTGTGCCCTGCAGGCCGGCCGTACCGGGGCAAGCCGAGCGACATGTGGGCCCTGGGCGTGGTGCTCTTCACCATGCTGTACGGCCAGTTCCCCTTCTACGACAGCATCCCGCAGGAGCTCTTCCGCAAGATCAAGGCCGCCGAGTACACCATCCCCGAGTGAGTCCTCCCTCCCTGGAGTCCAGCCCTTCAGGCTTGAGGGCTGGAAACAACACAGTGAGGCTTAGAGTCCTGGGTCCAAGACCCAGCACCAGCCCACCCCGCCTGAGCCTTTCCCTCTTTCTCTCCTGCATCAGGGACGGACGGGTTTCTGAGAACACCGTGTGTCTCATCCGGAAACTGCTGGTCCTCGACCCCCAGCAGCGCCTGGCTGCTGCCGACGTCCTAGAGGCCCTCAGTGCCATTATTGCGTCGTGGTGAGTCGGCAGGGGCAAGGCCGGGTTCTGCCCACCTGTAGGCACTGTCCTGCCTCCCCAGAAAAGTAGCCTGAGGTTGGGCCCGTTTCTCCTCCAATCAGAGTCAGATCTCCAGATTCTCCTGATGGGCAGGGTTGGGAGGGTGCAGGCAGAACTCAGCGTTGAGCATCTACTACGTGCCAGTCCATGCCAACTATGGGATGGGTATTATCTCACTGAGTTCTCACCACAGCCTGCGAGGTGGAAATTGTCCCCCATTTATTGGGTGAGGGAATTCCCAGGCGGTCCAGTGGGTTAGGACTCTGTGCTTTCACTGCCAAGGGCCTGGGTTCAGTCCCTCGTCAGGGAACTAAGATCCCACAAGCCTCGTGGCCAATGTGTGTGTGTGTGTGTGTGTGTGTGTGTGTGTGTGTGTGTGTGTGTGTATGTATATATGTATATATATATACCTGGAGCCAGCCTGACTTACCTGCCTCCCCTGCAGGCAGTCCCTGTCCTCTCTGAGCGGGCCTTTGCAGGTGGTTCCTGACATCGATGACCAAATGAGCAATGCAGACAGCTCCCAGGAGGTGAGTTGGGGAGGGCAGGGTTGCAGGACCCCCTCGGCCCTTTTCCCAGCCAGGGCCTCCTTGGCCTCTCCCCAGCCCTTGGAGCTGGGAAAGACAGACCTAAGTCCTCAGCCTGAGCTGCCTGGGGCCTGCCTTGGGTCTGGCTCAGCTGGCAGTTCCGTGGCCTGAGAGAAGGGCTGTGAGGCGGTCGAGGAGGAGGCCCCACGGTGGGGAGGCCTCACGGCAGCTCAGCCTGGCCCTCCCTCGGCTTCCTCTTCCTGCCCAGGCCCTGGCTCTGCCATATGCCGGCGCTTTAAACGGTCACAGTGGTCTGCCCCTCTGACTCACAGGGTTCTCTCTTGCCCTTCCTGCTTTTAGTTTTTCAGATGATTCGTTTTCTCCCAGTTTTCTCTCCTCCCCTGTTGCCTGCACTGGAGAAAGTGCTGGGCCCGGGGTCGGGGCAGAGACCAGGGCACAAGGCAGCAGCTAGCGGGTGATCTTAGGGTGCGTCCTGGAGGGCAGGGCTTGGCCAAGCCTGGGAGGGCAACTGTAAGGACCCTCCCTCTCTGGGCCACCCTGGAGTCCCACAGCAAGCACTGGGCAGGGAGGACCGGACAGAGCCAGCCTGGGACTACAGCAGAGCCTCTGGCCCTCGAAGAGAGAGTTCCAGGCCCTGCCCCCCAGCTCCCACGCCCTCCCACGGCTGTTCAGCAGCTAAAAGTAATCATCACTAGCATGTGGTGAGTGCCCCCCCAGTACGCCTCGTTCAATCCACACTACAGGCCTATGTGTCCTGTGTTCCTATCTCATTTCACTGAAGAGGAAACGGGTTCAGAGGTAATTTTCCCCAAGGCGCACCGCTTGGAAGTAGTGGCTGAGCCTTGAACCCCAGTCTGATTCTGCAGCCCTGCCCTCCCCCTGATGATTAGCCCAGGGGCCGCCCGCTCCAGTCTGTGACTGTGCCTGGGCTGTCCCAGGGAGCTCAGCCTGGGACAAGACGGAGAAACAGGGCTGCCCAGGTGCTAGCACCCCAGCCCCAGGCCGCTCTCTTAACACTTGACCTGCCCCCGTCCCTCGAGAGCCTCTGCGAGGGGCGACTACTGCCCCATTTCACGGAGGTGGGTGGGACACAGCCTTCTGAGGGACCTCTTCCAAGGTCAGTGAGTTACGGGAGATCACAGGTCTGAGTGACGCCCAGGGTGGCCAGCAAGGCGAGGTCCAGGCTGGCTGGAGGGCTTCCGGGACCCACACTCTGGGCCACTAGATCGGGCCCAAGGGTGTGGTGCCTGGGGCGGGAGGCCCTTGAGGCGGGTCAGCTGACACTGCCCCGCTCTTCCCTCTTGCGCTTCCGCCTCTCTCTCGCTCTCTCGCGCTCTCTGCCGGGCTCTGTGGGTCTCTCTCTGCCGCACAGGCGAAGGTGACAGAGGAGTGCTCCCAGTACGAGTTTGAGAACTACATGCGGCAGCAGCTGCTGCTGGCCGAGGAGAAGAGCTCCGTGCACGAGGCCCGCAGCTGGGGGCCCAGGCGGCAGCTGGGCAGCGCGCCGCCCGTGCGACGGCTGGGCCACGACGCGCAGCCCGTGAACCCCTTGGACGCAGCCATCCTGGCGCAGCGCTACCTGCGGAAATAGCAGCCTCGGGCAGGGGCACCGGCACCACCCACCACCTCTTCCCGGCCCCAGGCTGGGCCCGCTGGGCCCCGTAGTGCTGAACTCTCTCCCGGGCCGCACCGGGGACGGGGCAGGGACAGCCCAAGTCACACATGGGGTCAGCAGAGGTACCACGAAGCTACCTTTTGGAATGATTGCTTGATTGTTTGGTTTTTTAATCTGAGAAGCCTAGATAACTAATCTGCTTTTAATCATGACGTTTTAATCTACCTCTGTCTCTTTAACCATGCTGTCTCTGGACTGAGTGAGAGGGAGGAGGAGGGAGCCCGCCCGCCCGGGGCCCGACCCGACCCACTGACCCCCGGGGGCAGCTGCCCCCCACAGTCCACATAAGCTGAAAGTGCAGCTCGCTGCTGGCTCCCAACATGAATGCCCGCTCCCCACTGCCCTCCCAGGCCCCTCGCAGTCTGTTTTCCTCCCTCCCCTTCTGACCCCAGGCCCCTCGGTCCAAGCTTTGGAAAACTGTCACCTCATCTTAAGCAGAATTCAAATGTATTTATTTTTGTACTGAAACCAACTTCTCTCCCATCTCTAGGTGGCTCGGCCCATGCCACTCCCTGCCCCCAGCCTGGCTGGACAGCAGGGAGTCCACAGCCCCCCGATGGGCCCCCTCCTCGCCCCCAGGCTCAGAAGCCCCTTCTGGCCGGTCCCCTTCCACCTCCAGCCCACCAGTCCCTCCTTGTTTGTGGTGATGCGGAGGCCTTTCTACACTTGGTTCTTTCTCTCGCATCTCAGCTTCTCTGAGGTGCTGTACACCCGCGTCAGCCCCGGTTTCCTCTACCCCTCACCGTGGTACCGAGGTGATGCCGACATGGATGGGAAGGGTGCCTGGTGGGGGGCTTCTGAGGGGTGCTCTGGTCCAGCTGTGAACAGGCGGCCCTGTTTGCACGCCGTCTCGCTCCCCTCACTCCTCTGTGTTCAGAGAACCGTGGGGGCATCTCCTCTCCCGCCCCTGCCTCGTAACAGAGGTGGTGTCTCTCCCAGCAGACCACCAGGGGTGCCAGGGTCCTTCCTGGGGGCCGCAGGGCTCGTGGGGAGAATCGTAGGGACTGGGGGGCCCAGCCTGGCTTGAGAACAGCCCTGCTGCCCTTTTTGAGCCGAGATTTTGAAGTGGATGCCCGTCTTGCCAGAAACGCTGTTCTCACCAGAATGCCCTCCTTCCCGCTCTCCCACACTGGACTTGTTGGCCCTGCCCAGTGCCAAGCAAAGACCTTCCCCTGGCCTACCCTCCCCAGACCCCTCAGAGCAGCTGAGCGTTCCCCTTCAGGCAGTCGGGCCCTTCCTGCCTGCCTTCTCCCCAGTGGGGAGGTGACAGAGGCCTGTGTGACCTTGTTTCCCAGGGTGTGAGCTGCCCCCTCCCCAAAAGCTGACTCACTGTGAGTGACTTGGGCAAGGTCCCAAACCTCCTTGTGCCTCAGTTTCCCCATCTGGAAAAAATGGGGCCACCTCTTGCCAGCAGTAGCAGGGCCGCCCACGCCCCTTCTTCCCCACGCCCCCATCCCAGCACGTGGGCGCCTCGTGCCTCTGCCTCAGTGGGTCCATGGGAGCCCGCCTGAGCCCAGCACTTACTTCCCTGAGCACTGGCTCAGCCTGCCTCAGCCGTCCAGCTGCTGAGAGCCAGGGTCTCGTGCTGGGGTGGGGAGGGGCGGGGGCGTGGGGCGGGATGCCCTCTTTTCTATATTTATTTCAAAAAGAAGTCTCCTGAAGGAGTAGAAATGCAGTCCGGCCCAGGGCTCCCAGCCCCTGTGACTGTCCTCCCGTGAGGGCCTCACCCGAGCCCCTTGTCCAGCAGCCTCTGCCCAGACCCTCCGGGCCTGCTTGCCTGGTGGTCTTTCTCCTTTTCAAAGCAATATCCTCCAGGTCTGCAAAGCCTGTCAGACAGACTGGTCCCTTCCAAGGTCAGCCCATGTGTCTGATTAATTTCTGGCAAAGCAAATGAGAGGAGTTTGGGTCTCTGCCCTCACTGGGTGTCACACTCGGAGAGAAGTCCTATTGTAAAAAAAACAAAACGGGAAAAGTCACAAAAAAGTTTGTATAAAGTCATATTTTTGTACTACATGGGGACTCTTCCTGCATGTCAGCAATAAAACTTCCTGATCTGGAGCCAGCGTGGCCCGTGTCGTCTCTCACCCTCCTCGCCGCGTCTCCATCTCTCCCACCCAGCCAGGCAGCACGGCATTCC